GAATTTTGCAGGCTTCTCTTGTGGCCGGCAAACTGCGGCCTAAATAGGAATCTCTGGTATAAAGTTGTACACGCAATTCCCGTACAGGGACTGTTCGTAAATCAGTTAGATAATGAAGAAATTGCTTCTATTTACTTACAGTCAAATGGTGCTAGAGCATACTCATACATATGTACATATATCGAATCCTAGTTAAGTATTAGACGACTGTCTAAGTTAAGGGAAAATTTCCTTCGATTTCGGGTTGGCAGTCAAAGTCAAACACAAGTATATCGAATCCCTTACAATAATTTCCTCTGAGATTCTCTGAAATAATACCATGATTAATACCGTGATTTATTAATGTGGCCGTATTTAAGGAATCAGTTGACTAGGTTTTTATTAAAGACCTTGACCGCAAGAAAGAAGTTTGAAAAAGTGTGATTAACACTACTCTTTATCTACTACAAAATGTTTTCGGTTCCATTCGAAAAAGGTGTCAAAAACCTTTTAGAACAATACGACGGCTGTTTTCAATAATTTTGTGTAAAACAATGTTTGTTTTGAAATGTTTTTTTCAATGCTTATGTTTGTGTCATTTCTAGAGTTTGTGCGAGGGCGGAGTGTAACAGGCCCGTAGTCAGTTTACGAATGAAAATGTTAATATGTTCACAGAAACTATGTTGGATCACAGTACATTATTAAATATTGTGACATTTGTAAAAGTGACATTTGTGACACTGACATTATAAGTTTTATAGTTTATATATAAGTCAATTTAGTTTATACACTAGCTATAAAGAATGTATGGAATCATAATAAATATTCAGATGTAAATTTCAGAAGAGAAAATATATAAATACTGGTGTGGTTGCAGAGTTATTAGTTATGTTTTAACGTTACATGGTTAAACCGAGTTGTAGATTGTTAAATAAACGTGTTTAAAAAAACGAGCAATTTGAAGAGAAATTGTAACATTTTGGTGACACGGTGGGATAAAGAAGAACGAAAAAAATATGGTGAATAATACGACGAGGAAACGACGACGATGGATGTGAGTGAGATACTAAAATTTTTGCAACAAGGAGAAGAAAAGCGACAGCAAGAGGATGAAAAGCGACGACAGGAGGATGAACGACGACGGCAGGAGGATGAACGACGAGGCAGGGGACGTGAGCAGAACGACGACGACAGGAGGACCGTGAGGAGGCAGAAAGGCGAGAGGAAAAGCGACGGCTGGAGGACGAACGGCGGCGACAGCAGGACGAACGGCGGCGACGGGAGACCAGTGAGGAGGCAGAAAGGCGAGAGGAACAGCGACGGCAAGAGGACGAACGGCGGCGACAGGAGGACCGTGAGGAGGCGGAAAGGCGAGAGCAACAGCGACGGCAAGAGGACGAACGACGACGACAAGAGGACCGAGACGAGGCGGAGAGGCGTCATCAGGAATTTGCGAGTCTCAACAAATAATAAACACCAGGTTGAATGCATTTTCTGGGAGGATTGAGGCGTGGAACAGCAGATTGACCAGTAGGCCAAAAAGTCACTAGAATTGAGAAGGAGTTTCAGGAGAATAGGGAAGAAATCGAAAGAAGACTCGAAAGAAGATAGAGAACACCAAAACCGCAAAAAGAAATACTGAAATTGAACAATTGCATGTACTTCAATAGCCGATTCAGGAGATTGTTTGACCTCACCAGCTACTCGTTACAACATCAAGCCTTATGCATACTGAAAGGTCAGTACACAAAATCTTAAGCCTCCTACGTACGATGGAAGTCATCATGGTCCTGTACAGTTTGAGGCGCCGCAAACAACGGATGGACTCCACAAGAAATGGCTACTTCGCTAGTCATATCTCTCAGGCTTTAGAAATTTTAAGAGCTCCGAAGAGCAGCAAAACGATACGACAGGATTGTAGGCGCGTTAGAAATAAGGTATGACACAAATTTAATCAAGTTTTACCAGTCCCAGATCAAGAGTAGACAGCAAAAAGCAACGAGTCTTCAAGAATATGAAGCTGACATCGAACGCCTCATTCATTTGGCAACTCAAGCGCCCAAAGAATTTCTAGAACAAATTGGCATCCAAACTTTTATTGATGGACTAGTAGACCCAAATCAGCAAGCTTTGCGCTTGCTCATTGCTGCCCTGGAATTTAAAGAGCTAAGAAGCCTCGAGAAACTACAAACCTCTAGTAAGGCAAGTAAAATGAAAATGCCAGTCACTGAAGACCCAAAAAAAATACGGGAGACATAAAAGAGGAGACTCAAACCACCAAGGAAACAGCTGCTCCTGCGGGAAAATTGGGACATCTACAGCAAGACAAACAGCAAGATCTTATCGCCAACGACAACCGGAACATAGGTCGAGATCCCCCGAATGAAAGGAACTGGAGAGAAGAAAGCAGGACACCGACGAGTCGACAAGAATGGAAGACTTGCAGATACCACCGAGAGATTCGAAAAACTAGTCGATGCTAGGGGCGCGTGTCGACTACTTATACTCAATGCCCCAAGATTCTATCTCAGATAAAAGTACGAGCAGAAGAAACCAGGACCGCAGGTGCGGGAGATGTCCGATCAGCACCTTTTTTGGACAGCAATGAACGAGTCGGGAATAAGAAAAAGAACAGGTCCTTTGCGTGGACGTCATGGACAGACTGAAGGAGTTCTACCTGTTCGATCTTCGAAATACCTGCAATGAACTGTTAATGACAAAACCGTACAAGTCGAAGATGAATGGTCCTCGGAGGAAGGAAACCAAAAAGACATGACCTAAATTAATCCGGAACTGGGTAAAAATGGAGTTCGACCAACTTGGCAGGAAGTTTCAGATATGGTACGACTATAAAGGATACGCTAATGGAGTTCCTTCTCGCGATGGCCTACTGCATCGGAAGTGGACCCCGATGGAGTATCCGCAGTCTACCAGTTGGTCTTGCCTAAAAAAGAATCACCAAGTGCTAGAAGAGCTTCTATGCCAGTCCATCCGGAGGACATTTTGGAGTAACCAGGACTTTGGCTCGAGTAAGGACCGATTTTATTGGGTAAACTGTCGCCGAGACGCCGAAGAATGGTGCAAGAGATGTGACTGTGCTCTGCCAAAAAGGGACCAAAAACAAGAAGCCGTGGTAAAATGGTGCAGGGTCTTTCCCCGGGGCCCCACTCGGGGGGGGGGGGGGGGGGGAACTCTTGGGACCATCCCAACCTGGAAAAAATTCTTGAGGTGGTAATGGACTATTCCGAAATAGAAAGCCCCAATAGAAGCGAGCCGAACGTTCATCGAGAAGTCATACAACGAGTGCCCGAACTGCACCAAGGAAGTGGAAAAGTGATGAAAACAATGGGCACAGGAACGCTTCACCTCGAATGGCATGGTTGAACGGAAAACTACCTGTCTAAACGTGCGAAAAAAGGACGGGACATTGTGCCTCTGTTTTTGCTAATGAAGTTCCCAATAACACCTCTGCTAACCCGAAGAGAAATGTGCCTACTGACCTATACTTGGCCGTCACTAGAGAAAACAGGAAGACCAGAAGTAGAAAATGAGAGAGAGAATGGACCAGACCACGATTGCCAGGAGAAGCTGAAAATTCACAGACAAAATGAAGCACTCAGACACAATAACAGTGCATTTAAACCTGGTGATCAGTATGGTATGCCAAAAAAGGACGAAAGGAAAAGTCAAACAGACAACTACCACCAATAACGGAAAATCAACGACCTGGTCTACGCATCCAGCAGAAGCAAGCCGAAGGTGGTCCATTTGGAGAGACTCGAAAGAAGACATAATCACCCGATTGGTTTGTTGTCGAAGATCCGCCTAGGACTGAAGACAGTGTTATTCGGACGAATAACCTAAAGAGGGACAATGGATTGTAAAAGTGACATTTGTGACACTGACATTTATTAAGTTTTATAGTTTATATATTAAGTCAATTTAGTTTATACACTAGCTGTTAGTAAAGAATTGTATGGAATGTCATATTAAATATTCAGATGTCAAACGAATTCTAGAAATGTAAATATTATAAATACTGGTGTGGTGAGGAATTTATAGCATATTTTACAGTTGTGAGATTGTTAAATAAACGTGTTTGCCGAGTAATTTGAAGAGAAATTCGTAACATTTCGAATGTTACGAATTCTCTTCAAATTACTCACTCTGTTCAAACACTTATTTAACAATCTACAACTCGTGGGTCCTAAACATATCACAAAACAAACTTTTTCTTCATTCTTCGAATTCTTCTATTATCCCACCACTGTCACCAAAATATTATTACTTATTACCAAGCGCGAATGTCACAGCAATGTTAATTATTTATGGCACGCTGTAACAGACAGTCAGACAGTATTCGCCGTGTGTTTAAATAACTTTATAAATATTAATAATTATTAGTTGAGGGGAGAAGAGAATAAAGTGAGGTACCATACCTCCAAAGGTGAAAAGAAATAGACGGGAAGTATTTCAAATGTGGTTTGACAGTGATCCCGGAGGTTTTAGGGATATACGTATTCAAGGAAATGACCTTTTTTGTACTGTAAAACTAAAGTAACAAGACATCTGAAAATCCATGCCTTGTCCAGTGCCAACGACTCCGTATTTTTCTAGGAACTTACAGACTTTAGACAAGAATTTACAGACTTTAGACACGTACGTATTTTTCTAGATTAGACTAAAGATTTTAGTATTTAGAAAATACGCTCAAAGAGGTAGCTTTATATTTTATTTTTGGATTGCGTTTGAGTAGATCGATGAGACACAAAATTCAAATTGTCATACCTCGGTGAAAGAAAATATATTCTATATATATATAAATAAATAAATAATAAATCACATAATTTATAAATAAATAAATATATAAATAATAAATCACACCACAGAAATTGACAATTCTCCTTCTAAGAGGAGAATGTCAATTCTCCTTCTAAGAGGAGATTCTACAACTGTGCAGAGGGAGAATACACATGGAACAGACGTAGGAACACAACCAAACCCCTGTGACAGGTGCCAATTGCCACAGGCGGGATTTGAACCCGCGCAGATAATAGCTCTCGGAGAAATCGCCATCTTCTCGTTCGTCTCTCTGGCGCTTTACCCACTGAGCTATCACCGCGGCTATAGATTATTATTTTTATATACTAGCGACCTGCCCCGGCTTCGCACGGTGTGTACGACATCACATTAGAAACCTCTAAAATTATCAGTGTTTCTCAACTATATTATGCATGTATTATACATATAAACCTTCCTCTTGAATCACTCTATCTATTAAAAAAACCGCATCAAAATCCGTTGCGTAGTTTTAAAGATCTAAGCATACATAGGGACAGACAGCGGGAAACGACTTTGTTTTATACTATGTTATGAGTTATGATATAAACTGCTGGACACTCGAACTTACACATAGAGAGTTTTAGGCAAAATTTCAATTTTTCAGTTCAATATTTTTGCAACAGGAATGCAAATTTTTGAACGCGGCTTGCAAATTTTAAGAGCTAGTTTTTTCGGATTAAACTGCATGACGTATATTTATTGTAGGACCATAGGTTTATTATATACGGGGTGATCAATGAAGTCATGCAAAAAATCAAAAAGTTTGTATGAGTGAAATTTCCGCAAAAAATTTTTTTTGGTCGTTGCAATATGGTTCGTTACTAAGGTAACATCAATATCTCTAGACGTTTTTGTCAGTTTTTGGATTAAGGCCCCTTATGCTTTGTACACACTACTCAACATAAAATTTGGGTAGCAAAATTTTTAAAATGCTATAACTTCATATTGGATTGAGGGCTCTTGATGATTTTTACGGATTTGTAATCTTTATTTCACGTAGATTTTCTCTGGTCTAAGCATTTTATTTGAGGGTTGAAATTTACACATTATACCGGGTCGATAATATACAAAAAACGTAGCGACAAGAACACGTTTATTATTTTCCTCCAAATATCGCTGATTTGGCCTTCTCCAAACTAACATTCGGCCATCGGAGTGAAACAAATTAAATCTTGTTTCTTCAGTAAATAAACAATGGCTCCACTCTGCATTACCCCAATGCGCATGCCGATTTGCCCATGCCCGCCTATTCGCTATATGGTGCACACATTTTGCTCTGCGACGGGCTCTATAATTTAAAATGTTTGCCATTATTTAAGTTTTTGTAAAAATAAATTTTCACCTCAAGTTGTTTTTATTTAATGTTCTTCTCACTGTTCTGTCCGAAACTCTCACTCCAGTTTGTTGTCTTAAAGAGTCATTTAGTTTTCTAGAGTTCTTTGTTCTATTCTGCATAGTTTCTGTCATTAAAGTTCTTTCGGTTCTTTGGTTTATTTTTTTTTGTATGTCCACCCCCATGCCCATAATTATGATCACCAGTAGTTTCGACGCGGCCCTTCAAATTATAAATTGTCTTTCGGCTGACATTATAAATGTGCGCAATTTGCTCTTTTTGACATTCCTTCGTTAAGAAGTCAATTTTCCCTTTCTGCCGTGGTTAAACGCCTCATGTTAATTAAAATTTACAAAATTATAACATTGAAATGTGTCAGATTATTTCTAGAATAATGTTAACAGTTTTTAATTCCATAGCAACAAATTTATTTTTTCCAATGCCTACTTTGAAATTGACGCGTCGCGTAGAAATTACACCCGATCATAATTATGGGCATGGGGGTGGACAAAGAACTCTGTAAAACTGAATGATTCTTTGAGACAACAAACTGGGGTGTGAGTTTCGGACAGAACAGTGAGAAGAAAGTTAAATAAAAACAACTTGAGGTGAGAATTTATTTTTACAAAAACTTAAATAATGCCAAAACCTTAGAGCGCGTCGTACACTACGTTTTTGTTTATTATCGACCCGGTATAATGTGTAAATTTCAACCCTCAAATAAAATGCTTAGACCAGAGAAAATCTACGTGAAATAAAGATTCCAAATCAGCAAAAATCATCAAGAACCGTCAATCCAATGTCAAGTTATAGCATTTTAAAAAATTTTGCTATCCTATGTTGAGTAGTGTGTACAAAGCCTAAGGGCCTTAATCCAAAAACTGACAAAAACGTCTAGAGATATTGATGTTACCTTAGTAACGAACTATATTGCAACGACCAAAAAAATTTTTTTGCGTAAATTTCACTCGTACAAACTTTTTGATTTTTTGCATGACCTCATTGATCACCCCGTATATAATAAACCTATGGTCCTACGATAAATATACGACATGCAGCTTAATCCGAAAAAAACTAGCTCCTAAAATTTGCAAGCCGCGTTAAAAAATTTGCATTCCTGTTAAAAATATTGAACTTTAAATTTTGCCTAAAGGTCTCTATGTGTAAGTTCGAGTGGCCAGCACTTTAGATTCACAATTGATTTTAAATATGAAGAATCATACTTTTAGGTGCTATTACAAGTTCTGTGAAAACAAAATACCTTATGATGTTACATAACTTCAAATATGTCAAAAACAGTGTTTTTTGCAGATTTAGGTTAAGAAATATCAAAAACTACCCGTGATGGCGCAATTCTGAAGCCAGATTTGGATTCAGCGCACCGGAAACCTTGGGAAAAGTATACTAGAGTTTCTACTTCCTGACCCTTGTTGGCCTGTGTTATTTATGTGAATATTTCCACAAACATTTTTAATCCATTCTTTTTCATTTCCCATTTCAGTTTCCCTTGGAGCGTTTTGCGCCGGTACAGTCCTATCCTGGACGTCGCCCGCTCTCACGCACGTCTTGGTCGACGACAATAACGGAACCGACGTCGCCGCCGCCTCCGAAAGCCTCACCTCTCCAGGATTCACCATCGAAAACAGCGAGGCGGCGCTCATCGGATCAACGCTTACCGTTGGCGCCCTGATATCAGCCATTCCCACTGGCTACATAGCCGACAAATTCGGAAGGAAACCGGCCATCCTTGGGCTATCGCTGCCGTTCCTGCTGAACTACCTCCTCATATCGTTCGCCGGTAATCTAGAAACCGTCGTGGCTGCTAGATTCTTCGCAGGTCTGGGTCTTGGAGGCATATGCGTGGTGGCTCCGATGTATATCGGGGAGATAGCGGAACCGTCCAACAGAGGCATGTTCGGCTCCTTCTTCCAGATGTTCCTTTCGTGCGGTATACTCTTCACTTGCATTGTAGGATCGTTTGCTAATTGGGTGTGGTTGGCTGTTATACTCGCGTCGGCACCTGTTGTGTTCGGGGTAAGTTTCCTTTTCATGCCGGAAACTCCTGTTTACCTTGTAGGGAAAAACAGGTTGGGAAGAAGCGGAAAGGAACCTTAGGGAATTCAGGGGCAGCAACTACGACGTGTCGGTGGAACTGAAGTCGATTCAAAAAGAAATGGAAGATTTACGCGAAAGAGTGTAACATTCAAACACGTCGTCACCAATAAGGCCAACCTGAAGGCCGTAATCGCGGTTCTAGGCGTATTAGCTTTCCAACAGCTCAGCGGCATTAACGCGGTGGTTTTCTACACCGCGAATATTTTCAACGGTGCTGGCACCAAGATGGCACCAAATCTGTCAGCGATTATCATAAATGTCGTGCAGGTCGTTGTGTCCTACATCTCCATATTAATCGTGGGAAAAGGCAAACAGAAAGTTTTACTTGATGATCTCCTCGAGTGGCATGCTGCTGTGCTTAGCAGGTTTGGGGATGTTCTTCCATTTAAAAGAAATTGACGCCGATGTCGCTCACTTAGGCTTCTTGCCCTCACCTGTGTCATACTGTACATGGATTAGTTTCTCCATCGGTTACGGTCCCGTACCTTGGATGCTGATAAGTGAACTGTTTTCTCCCGAAATCAAGGGGCATAGCCAGCGGCCTAAGCTATACTGGCTAACTGGTGTTCGCCTTCGTCGTCACTTTCAGTTTTCCCATACTCAAGGCTAGTCTAGGCAGTCACGTGACATTTTATATGTTCGCTGCGGTCATGGCGGGCGCGACGCTGTTCGTTTATTTTGTCGTACCGGAAACGAGAGGAAGTCCCTTGTTGAAATACAGGAGGCGTTAAATAGATAACTCGAATCATGTATAAATAGGAATGAATAAGAAGTGCAGTGATACGCATGTGTACATTTTGACTCCTGGATCCGACATAAATGTATACGTATGTTACTCGCAATAGCTGAGTTCGCCTATTGCCCGATTTTTTACCATATTTTACATCCACAACGCGTACATATATGTTTTTTAGATCCACGGTGCTCTTTGGGCTCCTTGAGAATCCCCACAACGCGTTATGACCAATAACGCTATTTACTCACAAGATAAAAAATACATTTATGTACTTTACATTAAGATAAAACATTCGCGCAGTGGGCGAATTTGGGTATTGAGAGTAATGGCGGCACTTCACTTGGCGTAGCGTATTCGTATATTTGTTGTATTTGCCCAAAAACGGCTATGTCGCTATTCGCTATATTCGCTATATTTGCATTATTTATACAAATAACGCGAATACGAGAACCACTTGTCGGTTTTCAATCACACATCAAAGAAGTCAAATAAGGCGAATATTTGCGGTAACCGTCCACACTTGGTTCCACCAGCGCCGTGTTCGTCATGGTCTTTTAGTAACTTTGTACTTATGTAGATATAACATGTATTGGTAATAAGAAGCATTCAGGTAACAAGCTGCTGTCGCTGTCAACACGTCCGTCACTGTATTCACTGGTTCTGAATATTCAAACATATTTGGCATGTTTGAGTGTTTTGCTGTATGTGTGGATGGCAGGTTTGGAATATTTGCGAATACATCAAATCATTTGGACAAATACAACGATACTCAAACACAAATACGCTACGCCAAGTGAAGTGCCACCATAACGTTTAAATTCGTTACAACGATGTCTACATCTGAACGCATGAAGATTGATGTCTTCAAGTCCAGTCTACGACATGGTGTTGCTTATGTCCACACTTTAGATTTAGCATCTACTTTAGACTGTGTAAATTCATTAACTCTCTTAAATCTATTAACAAAGTTTTTATTAAACCTATTAACTCTGTCTATTAAATCTATTAACTCCATTAAATCTATTAACCAATGATTTTGTTTTACTTCGGTAAATGAATGACGTCTCTTCAAAAGCGTTTCTAAATTCATTGATTTAAT